TGATATATATATATATATATATATATATATATATATATATATATATATATCACTAGTTTTCTATTTTAAGAATTTTTTAATATTTTTATTAATTATTCAACCTATGAATTGTGTGTCATTTTTTTATTTTTAGTCAACTTTTTTCCCATTTTCACATAAATACCATAGATCCATATAATATATATTTTTTATATATTTAAGCTTCTAAATTGGTCCAAACACTTGGTAAAAATTTGGGTTAGAGAAAATAATTTTTAATATGCAAAGTACTATTTTTACCTATAACTAAAAAACAATGTAGGGAATAGAAGGACTAGTCCAAATGACCTAAAAACAATTATTTGGTTGTCTAAAAATAAATGAATAAAATAGTTAATCAAGAACGCTGTTTGCACTTTTTTTTTAATATATGAATAAAAGTAAAAAACTGTATTCGAAAATCCAAATTTGGAAACTTTTTCCCGCCCATCTGCTGGCAATGAAACACTCCATTCGATCAGTCGGCATGAGACTGATCTTTCACAAGATAAGTAGTATTAGTCTCAAGCATTTCACTCGGAATTCGATGGCATCGGAATCGGAGGTGGAGCCTCGGTTGGTGGCTGGGCGGCCGCAGCTGCTGCTCCTCTGTCGACCCCCTTCATAGGCCTCGACCAAGCCCTCTCGTCCTCGTTCGAGCTTCTGAGGCCGTGGGAGTCTCCGTTGCCCCGCGACCGCTTCCTCGCTGCCCATGCCGCTGGCATCCACGCCCTCCTCAGCACCGGCCTCGCCGTCGTCGACGCCCTTCCCGCCCTCCGTTTCGTCATTACCAACAGCGTGGGCGTCGATCACATCGACCTCGCCGAGTGCGCCCGCCGCGGCGTCTCCGTCGCCAACGTTGGAACCATCTTCTCCACGGACGTCGCCGACTATGCCGTCTGTCTCCTCCTCGACGTCCTCCGCCGGGTGTCAGCCGCCGACCGGTACGTCCGCCGCGGCCAGTGGCCGCTCGCGGGTGACTATCCTCTCGGCTTCAGGGTTTGATTCCCTTCTTCCACTCTTCTTATCCGTCTTCTTCGCTTTCTTTACTTCTTTGTGTTCTCTTCACTATTCTGTTTGCTATCATCTTTCCTGAGAATGTTTACTGCAGAAGGGGAACTGATAGAATCGTGGAACTTCTTTTAGCTGTGATTTTTTCTGAAGAAGTCAATAAAGTATTGGTTATGCTGTCTTGAACTTTTACCAAATTGTTTATGGGTCATGTCAAATTGTAACAAAAAAAAAGCGAAATTTCTATTTCTTATTCAATTTAATGTCTTGTGGAGAATTCATTTCGATAGTTATTCTGTTTCATTTGCTTTTTTTTTCTTCAAATGCAACCAAGTAGCATATTTCAAGTCTTTCTGACTTGTAGCGATATCCTCTTCGACAAGAACCACCCAGCAACTTGGATGGTGATTGTCTCGCTTGTTATTTCATTTCATTCTTGTCACATTAAAGTAGTAGATAGCCCATCTTTCCAAGCTAAAAGAGTGTGAATTGGTTTACAGAAATATCTTTCCACAGCGAGGAATTTAAATATCTTTATTTTTCACTTTTCTCCCCTGCAGTCCTAAGTTCTATAGCTAAACAAAATTATTTGGACTTCCTCTCCATCCTTTCTTGACTTGATTTTGTAGTCAAATAAGAGAGTTCAACTTTTATTTTTGATATTTTATTTCATCTTCTCCTTAATTGCATTTTTTTTTTCCTTTAGAATGTTGTTAGCATTTTTTGTTGTATTAACTCTGAGTGTCCAAATGCTGCTTGTATTCAATCCTTAGTTGTGAACACCTACTTTTGTTAATTTATCCTCTAGTTTGGAATCCCGATTTAGAGGCTCATTATAATTCTCCTGATTGTAAAGGGACAAAGTGCTAGCTATTTATGAAGCAGTTGTTATGACTTAAAGAGGATTCTGAAATTGAAAAGTGTTACGACAGTTACCAGAATAACAAATATATGTTGAAGTTAGAGGCATGGATCTCTGAGCTCTGCTTACTAGTTGTCTTAACTTGCCATTTTCTTACAGTTGTCGCAGCTAGTTATTAGGGCATTAGAAACAATTTCCTGTTATGAAATCTTTAAATTATTATTAATTCTCTAGTTGAATTAATTGTGTACCTTAGACCAATTGTTATACAATATTCACGTCCTACACAATAGTGACAATACCACTGAAACTTTCACCACATATATTATAGGTCATGAGATAAGCATCACTAACCAGTTGATTCTAGGAATACCTTATGGCAAGGCAATGAAGTAAAATATTTTTCCAACTTACTAACACCCATGTTGTAGGTTGAGCGTTTGGTAGGGATATCTAGTTCCCCCCTTTTGTTTCTTCCTAAACAATGCAAATTGTTTACACCTTTATTTGTTAAACTTGATCTTTATATTTTGATGGCTATTGTGTTTTCTGAACACATTCACATTGTGGTGGTCAACACTGGTTCATTTTCTTTAGCACCACAACTATAAATTAGATTTGTAATATTCTTTTTGCTAATGGCACTGAACAGACAAGTTTTGTCTCCTGTTTTTTGTTGCAATTACAATGCAGTTTTCTTCAGAAGCAAATTAGAAATAAATGCAATGTCAAACTGTTTAAAAAATAGAAATAGATCAATATTTTCTCGAGTAGTTTGTGTTGATCTCCTACAAAAGCAAACATGAGCTTCCTCTGTATTATTGCATTTTGGTTGGTTTGTACAGAACAAGTGTAAGTTGGAAATGATTGCTTTATCTTGTTTATCTATATCTTCCTTTTAATTTTTACATTTGATTATGTCAAGTTTCTTACTGCAATGCATGATTATATTGTGCATCTAAGAGCCTACTTCTGCAATAAGTCAATCACCAAGTAGGTTCTAAGTCCGGTAAACAACTTTTTTCTGGCAGCCAAATCATATGCAACTATTTTGAGTGCTAAATTTTGCTTTTGTTATTGAAACAAGAGAACTTAACATCTATAATTGTTTTCTCAGTTGTGGTGCAATCAAAACTCTAATTGTTGTTGATGTCTGATTGATGGTTGCAGCTGGGTGGCAAGCGGGTTGGTATTGTAGGGCTGGGAAGTATTGGATGTGAAGTAGCCAAAAGGCTGGAAGTTTTTGGTTGTTTGATCTCATATTTCTATAGACAAAGGAAGCCATCAACCACATACACATATTTCCCAAGTGTTTGTGATCTTGCAGCTGCAAGTGATATACTAGTTATTACTTGTGCTCTAACTACTGAAACACATCATATGGTCAACAAGGATGTTATGTCCGCATTAGGGAAGGATGGGGTCATTATAAATGTGGCAAGAGGAGCTCTCATTGATGAAGCAGAGTTAGTCAAGCACCTGATGCAAGGAGACATTGCAGGAGCCGGTCTTGATGTGTTCGAGCATGAACCTGCTGTTCCCAAGGAACTCTTTTGCATGGATAATGTTGTGCTATCGCATCATACAGCTATTCATACTTCAGAATCGTTCGTCGACCTTCATGAGCTGATCGTAGCCAGCTTAGAAGCTTTCTTCTCTAATCGACCATTACTAACCCCTGTTTTAGACTGTCGGTCTTTATAGATGTTGTGGTCATATATTGAAGTTGCATCAGACAATCATGTTCATTCTATGATCAAATCAGCTGCAAGCCTTCAAATGGCTTTGCATGGAAATCCTTAAGAAGTGATTATAGTGTCTCAGTATTATTCATCATTGCATTTTATATAATTGAACATCATCATGATGAACATGAATTCTTGATATTTGCACATTTCTATCAAAAAATGAAATCAGTTTAGAACCTATACAAATTTTCATTTGATGCTAAATTTTATGGGACAAGTAGTACTGAGTTAAAGTTTGATCTTGGGCAGAATTATAGAAAATACATGCATCTTTGACACCTTTTGTGACTCGTTATTTTTTCTTTTTATCATCGATATGTGAATAAATATTATCTTTCACATAGAGCAGATGTGGAGACACATGTATGGATTTGTTGCTAAATTTTGCCCTTTGTCAGGACTTGTGGATTCAAATGTTGTTAGCTAGCTGTTAATAAAGTTATTAAGGGATTATATCTGTCTTAATGATGGTAACAAAGAATCAACCTAAGTTACCTGGAGAACTGTGGTAATAGAAAGAAACATGGGGATGTTATACAAACATTGCTAGTTAATTATCATTCTAGAGGTTAGTGCACTCATGTGCAAGTGATGAGTTTATCGAATTGACACAACAGGATCATAAATAACAAAAAAATTATGGTGTCAATTTTAAAGAATATTTCTAAAAGATAGTACTAGAAATTATGGAATGTGAATGACATTTGTGAACAATTAGAATTAAATCAGAAGGAATCATCTAAAAATTGCATGAACATGTTGTCTACCTGTACATGTCATGGTCAAACGAGATGAGACAATTTGCATAAATAAATAGTGGAAGTAAATAAGAAAACTAAAAAGATAAAATATATGAAATATTCTTGGTCACCGTAGGGGTTGCCACCGTTTCGATCTCCAACCCGCAACCCGCAACCCGCAACCCGCACCCAAGCCCACTTTTCAATCCACGTGTAAGAAAACTATAGGCTCATAGTAATCCACGGGGATAACGGTTGGTGTTACGGACTCGCGTCGTCGCCGATCGACGGCAGTCGTGTGTGAGAGTGGAGGACGACACCCGCCTCCCGAGAAGGAAAAAGATGTCGCTACTCGCCGCATCTTCCACTGCCTTCTCGAAGCTTTCCCATCAATCTCCTCTCCGCCGCACGAGTGCATCTACCGACAGCAGGAGTCCTCCTCCCCATGGCCGCGTCGTCGTGGTCCGGGCATCTCCAGTGCCCGCAGCTGACGGCGTCGAGTTGGAAGGGGAGCTGGAGCTGCCTCGGTGGGCGGGGGAGACCTCGCTCTCCCGCTTCATCGGGGCCCTCATCTCCTTCAAGCCTCTCTTCTCGGTCATGAAGCTCGGGGCACGGCAGCTCCTCATCGGGTACCACAAGAAATCCCCCAAATTTCATCTCTGTTTCGGTCTCGGTTGTTAAGATTTCTCCCCCTTTTACAACCTTCTCAAGAGGCTGAGTTTTCTTGACACATGCTTTTCTACTGTTCTTGGACCTGTAAGTAATGCGGAGAAGACGAATATACCGTGGAGGGAGATGACGAATGAGATTCTGAATTCGGACGTTTACAAGGAGATGGAGAGCGTCCAAAATCCGTCTCTGGTTTATCCGGATTGTGAGTAATTTAACTTTCGTCACATATTCTTTTTGATTATTTTATTTTTCAAAGGCTTTATGTCAACTATGCAACTGAATTTGCAACAACTAGTTTGTAATTAATCAAAATGCTATAACCATCATTTGACTTTGTGCTGTGTATGAAAAAGAAACATGTAACAGGATCACTAGGTTGATTTATGGACACAAAATTCCACGCCAATTGCTCGTTTATTTTGACGAGTTATGTGGATTGGCAATTGTGAATCAGGAATTGCCACCTCTGTACCAAATCATCCCGGGATGGAGGTCGTAATAAATTTGGGAAAGTAGAAGTGAGTAAAATTAACCAATTTGTTCTTTACTTTTTTCTTAAACCTGGGTTTGAATGACCATTAAGCTTAAGCACAAGCTTTTCTAGTAAGTTCTCTGTTTATTAAGTCAGTATCAAGACGATAAGCTCCGTAGGCAGATCTATTTGTCCTTGAGATTGAATAGAATAAGTGCATTGAGCATCTTGTCATGACAGGTAATGATGGAAACGACCCTTTTCCCCATTTTTATGTGCATACTAGGAGCAGATTCATGCTGAATCCTAGTGAGATGATTGTAGCAGGCCATTGTTGACATTTCTTGATGTTATTAGTCATGCTTCTACATCTTGCTCTTTCTAACACTGTTTTATTCAAGACCAATTTGTTCTATAATTTTACAAGTTGAGACTCATAGAAGCAGTAGCCTATCTTGAGATTTAAGACCATCAGTTTCCTATTTGCAATATAGAAATTACGAAATTAATACAAAAGACCAGTGAAAAACATGTGGAATTTGAAGTTATATTATAGAAAAACAAAAGTCAAAAGTTAATATTTACAAAATCATAATTAAGACTATTTTCTAGCTATTGTTTCAGAGGCTAATATTGAGTTCTATTGATCGGGTCAGTTAGAACTTTTAAACTGCATTATAATAGTAAGTAAAGTTTACAGCTTTGCAATTGATATCATTCGTCTCCTATCTTTGATTTTATTTAACTATGTTTTGAGATTAATCTTTCCCCCAGTGTGATACCTGACACCTACAACACTCAATTCCAGAACTTGAAGGCCTTTGGGCCCCTAAATTTTGTGTCCAACAATGTATTAGATGTTTATCTTGATGTACATAATAAGTTCGTTTTTCTGGTGGATATAGAACATCCCACTACATTGAGAGAGTACGAAAAATAACTTGCACTGTGAACAAAAAACATAAGCAATCTAATTAACTTAGGGGACAATATTAGGTGGTTAATGAATCAGAAGTTTAGCAGATGGCTGTGCAGATAAAATTTTTGCTTACAGGTAACTGCATGGGCTTTTGATAGGCTTTTAACTTAAGAAGGTCATAAGGAAACGAAGGCACATAGATGGAGAGGTTAGAGTTTCTTTTTTAAAGGAACTCAAAAAATGAAAGAGGCATTATAATGAGATGAAAGTATAGTTTGCTTAGGCAAGATAAGTCTTTTGTGTTTGTGACCAAATCTGAGGCAATGTGGTATAATCTCAAACTAAACAAAATGAAACTACAGAAAAAGTTGGTTATGCTTGTCGTGATTAGCTCCATAAATTCATTGTAACTTCCAGATGTTATACACTTCAGAAATTCTTGCTTACTTTTTGTTCATAACAATTTGTAATGTCCTTGGTCTTTTGCTACTCGCATAAGAAAATTGTTTTGACATGCTGTCCTCTATCTAATACATGTCAGCACTGCTTTGCATAATGATCAGTGTACTTGTCAGATTGACTGTGCCATTTTGCTTCTAGGTGAGTTATAAGTGCATTTTTTATTTGCAAGTTACCATGCTATGTAATGTAGTAGGACAAGGTGTGATTTGTGACAGACAAAAGTGTGAGAAGGGGCCTTAAAAATGTCAATGTCTCTCATCCTTTAAAAATTGTGGCTGTTTGAAATTAAGGCTATGAAAATGTTTTAGAATAATATAATGCTTCCATCAAACTCACTCTGGTTTCTAAGAGAGACACCTGGGCTTCTTGACCTCACACCAACCACGTGTTATATGATGGATAAATTCATCATCATTGAAAAACAATTCTTTCATTTTAACATGAACTTCAAAACCTTTATCAAACAGTCTAAAATTCTTAAATTCTAAGAGAAATAATAGTTTTAAGTATTAATCTATAGATCTAACATTATTCAAATTTGAGTGACCTCCTGGTTTTAATTTGTCCTAGTGTCATCTTCACATCTTATTCCAAATCACTTTGAATTTAATTTGTCAACTTTTTCTCTTCTCTTGGAACTAAGGTCTCTAAGATGTAATATCATTCTTTTGGATGTTCTTCAACATACTAACTCCTAAATTTAGAACCTCTATAACTCTAAAACATTTCCAAAGTGTTGTCTAGTTTATTAGTGGTGTTTTTGAAGTCTCATTTCTTTTATTTCAGTAAAATGAGGTTCTTATTGCTCATATAAATTTGTTTATTTATTCTTTTGATAAGAAGATAGGTGCTCATAATGAGCAGCGACAGAACTTTTGTGTTTACGTGGAAGGTTTTTTACTAAAGTGCAGCTCCTGCCAATATGGTGTCCAGGGATGATTAGTGGACATAGCTTTAGCCCCACGATCAGCGTACCTATTTTTGTGATTTTAACAATTGTCAGTCAGGTTGCTGTGCCCTGTAGCAAGGTTTTAAATGATGGTCTGGTATTGGTTTCAGCAAACTACCGGGCTGGTACATTAGTGTGTGTACCGGTTGGTATGCCGACCCATATTCCATGTTATCAGCCGAAAATGATAATAATTATGTATGTACTGGTTAAGTATTCTATGTTACGGTTTCTCAATCATCAAAAGTTAGCATGGCCAACAGGCCAAGATCTTGGAGATATTATGATATGCACAATATGATAACTGTAAAGCTCCACTACTATTTCTTGATTAGTATTTACTTGATTAAACTGGAAATGTACTTCAATTTAATTCGCTATATTTGAATTAATTCTTCTACTCCCTTAGAACTAGTCAACTTTAATTGGTCTCTTTCATCAGTTTTTTTTCTAGGTTCTAACAGAGTTTTGCCATATGATACTTCTGAAAACCTAGTCAAGAAGAGTTTAGTATATCTTCATTTCAGGTTTATGGGCTAATAAATTTGCTCAAGTGCTGGTCATTATCCGATCTTCTCTAAAATTACTTTTTTTTATGAACAGATTATCTAAATCCATTTCATGCATATGATGAAGGGAACCTATCTTGGCTGGTAAATTTTGTCTCTTTTGCTCTTCAATTATAATAATTGTAGTATGACAACCAATTGGCTACACCTGTTGCTGAATACCCTTATGAATAATAGTGTATTCTCTTGCTCTAAACAGTCTGATGCTCATTCTTGTTGACTTCGATTCTTGGGTCATATTTATTTAAAGGGTAGTTTACCTTTA